TGTGTACTTCTCCTTTCTGTCTCTCCAGAGACACCTGCAAGAAGTCTCAGGCCGTGTGAATCAAGCTCGGTGTGCTGTGTGTGGAGAATGCCTTTCCTGCACCCTGAACTCAACCATTCTCATGTCAAGAAAGGTTACTGCTGGCGAGTGGTGGGCTGCAGGAAGGGCCAGGTGGACCTTACTGTGCAGAGGTGAGTGCTCACACAGACCATCACACAGGGGAGGCAATGCAGACATACAACGATTTTGGCTGTGCCGCTTGAAGGTGGAATTTCCATCTCTAGCAACAAACTGCTTCCTAGACGTAAAAATTCAGTTTGATTTTTGGCACGTGTTAGTATAATTAGAACCGGTTTCAGAAGCTTCTCTTTGATTTGCACTGTGTCCCACATATCCATGCCAGGCTGGGACCTACAGTTCGAAGTCACATGGCTTAATAATGAAGAATTGGCTTTCATTTCCAAGACAGGGCAGTAGGAGGCTTTGGTGCTTCCCTCTCTTCCCCATTAGATGCTGAGGTATTAATTGAGCACTGCGTTCACTGGGAACTACCTTCTGACTAGGCAAGTCCTTGTATTCTGAGAAAGGCAAGCTACAAATGCCGAGACTTCTCAGACAGAATCATAGCTGTCTTGTGTCCAACAGGCCTGTGCAGGACATGCACTCGCATACAACATGGCTTTCTCTTGGGTGGTTCTTTGACCAGCTTAAGAGTGTGCAAAGAAACAGAGAGAGCCAGCTAGTTAGCAAACATGCTGAACTTCCCAAAGTGCATTCAAGGCTTCTAGACACTGCAGTACCCCTTGGCTGCCACCTGCTGGTACCTTTATAATCACACGCCGGCGGATGACTCGGGTAGTGACCCTCTGCTCCTCCTCTGAGCTTGAACCACTCTCACTGTTTCTCAAGTCCTGACAAATGCATTTTTTAGTATAATTTTATCATCACATTGAAAACAAAAGACATTCTGAGAAGGGAAATCAAGAAAGAATTACATTTACTTATTTCCCACCCCCAAGGAATAGCATGGTATCTATTTACGAGAATCCTAAAAATAGAGCGAAAGAAAATGTCTGAACAAGATTCAGACTGCTTTTATAGCTCTGTGTGTGTGTGTGTGTGTGTGAGTGGGTATGTCTCTGCATGTTCCTGAATGTATGTATGTATGTGTGTGAAGCATGAACACACATGTGCATATGTATATACTTACAATGTGTTGCATGTGTGGTGTCTGTGTGCAGTTAAAGAATACGGTAATTAACCAGGTGGTGATGGCACACGCCTTTAATCCCAGCACTCAGGCAGGAGTCAGAGACAGGTGGATGGATCTCTGTAAGTTCAAGGCCAGCCTGGTCTACCGAGGGACTTCTGAGACAGTCAAAGCTAAACAGAGAAACCTTTCTCGAAAAACTAAACAAACAAACAAACAAAAACCCAAAATGTAATGATAGTCTGTTGAAAATATAGCTTTTTTGGTCTTAAAAAACTAAATGTTATTAGTTAATGAGCTCTTTGTATTCCCGCTTTAAGAAAATTCTAAACCGCCTTTGATTTGAACATAGATTTTGTAACTTAGGTCATAGTTCACGTGCTCTCTACAGAAGAGGCAGGTGTGATTTTATGGAATTTTGGTTTAATTGGTTAACTTTTACTGACAGCTGTCTTGGAGGCGGACACCAGCACTTGTCTGTACTGGGAAATTACCATCCACACAAGGTGTTCAGTAAGAGTTTTTGACAACGAGTGAGGGAGTAAAGACTTGTGAGCACCTGAGGACTTTAGTAAAGACCCAGAGTGAAACAACAGTGTAAGATGGAGCAAGGTCAGCCTGGGCAACTTAATGAGACCCTGTCTCCACGTGTGTGTGTGTGTGTGTGTGTGTGTGTGTGTGTGTGTGTGTGTGTGAGACACAGCTCAGTGGTAGGGAACTTGCATGTGTAAGGCTTAATAGTTTATTCCCCAGGACCTGAGAGAGACAGATGGGGAGAGAAAAAGAGACACAGCAATTCTGCAATTCAGGAGTCTGAAAAACTATTGAGTAGCAAATAGTTTACCATGCAAGTGGGAAAATACTGTTAATCAGTAAATATTCTTCATCACCATATTAAATTGCAATGGTAAAATTACGCAAATGAACTCTAGTAGTCAGGAAGCTAGGAACTGTGTAGTTAATACCATGAGAAAAAGGTATGGCTGTACTGTAAAAATGGTGTGTGGGGAAGGAGGGAGAGACTACTAAAATCACTATAGGAAGAAGAAGCATTAGGAAAAATGACCGTAAAGTAGTAGCTGAGTAGGTAACACACTAGGTTATAGTGTGCACTAACAGTCCATTGGCAAGTAGTTGAAGTGTTAAGAGTAATTAATGTTGATGCTGAGAGTTTATATAAAGTCCCAATGGAGAACGTGGCTCTCAAAGTAAACACCAGCCAGTATCTATGCAAGGAACAGAACTGAAAATCACATTCCCTATTGTATCCTTCAAGTTACACAAAAGGACAGCAGGAAAAAGAGTGCAAATGATTTAAGGAAGGTATTAGGAAAGTACACAAAGGTAAGAGGAAGTCAGAGTCACAAAAGTACAGAATCACCCAGGACCACTCCAGGATTAGCAGACAGGGGAGGCAGAGGGGAAATCTGAATTATTTAAACATGGATTGTAAGCTGGCAGAGTCAGAAGCATGCCACAGGTTAATGCAAATACTAACACAGAGCTCACATGCCCGACAGACAGGTGATCCTTGCAAGACTGCCAGGGCAGCCCTCACATATAGAGGTGGCTGGTGGGATCAGTGTTTCAGTGTCCCCTCTCCCTGGAGACTCAATCTGCTTAGCCTTAAGAGAAGGGAGAGAGCAGTGTAGACCCCCAGGATTCCTTTTAAGAGAATACTCTAGAAACCAGTAAAGGACCAAGTTTTGGGAGAACATGTGGGATTTCCCTAGCATTCCTTGCTTCACGGGAAGAGGAAAGAACATGGCTTTACCTTGTAACAGCAGGTGGTCATCCGTGTAAGCGCTGCACCCGGACTTTTGACCTGCTTTTTCAGGGGACAAAAAGGGGTCTGTTGCCTGAAGTAGACATCAGATGGCCTTGTTGGTTGCTACTGTACTTAGGCTGGGCCACCAAAGACATGACCGGGGCATCTTGGGATTTCCTGTGAGATCAAACTGACATTCCCCAGAAGCTGTGACTGTACATGGACTTTATGGACAGGAGGTCGTTTAATGCATTGGGTCACTCAATGAGAAGTTTGGTTTCCGTTAGTAGGGAAATCTGCTGAGTTGTGCTCAGGCTACAACCATTTCAACCTTCTTCATGTCCACATCCAAGTGGCTCTCCAGTGACCCACAGCTACACACCCATTGACACAAACTGTGTCACATGTTTATGTTGGTTTTCTAATAATTGTTTGGTTTTTGTAGGATAAGCCTTCCTAGGTAAAAATGTCACTGTGTTACTGCTTCTCCCTGGTGTTCCCTCCCTCCCCCCCCACTCTGGATTTGTTTTCAAAGGGACATACTTAACGATATGGCATTTTAAAAGACAAGATCCCACCCAAACTTATCTTGCTTTAATATACTGAGAGATTGAATCAAAGGCAAAAATAAATACGGAAAGCCACCCTTTCTGAGAACTGGGGGAAATCCTCAAAAAAGCGTAAAAGAAAAATATAGAAGAATCATTTCAGTGCTTAGTTATTGGTGATATTCATTTGCATAAATGATCTATTGAAGTTGTATTTCCTCCCACTTTTCTGTTCTAACACCCCAGAAAATGACAAGAAGAGTATGAACAGGGGATGGGGATGGTATATGATTTGTTGATTGCCAGTGATTAGCTTCTGAGTGTCTGGGCGTTTTTTTGTAAACTTGAAGCATTGTCTTATAAAATACCATTTCTTCTTCAAATGCTGGCTGCAAGTGAACTAGGCATGTCTCAGGGTAGGCCACAAGAGCTTTCATGTCAAAGGAATAACACTGTTTACTGAATAGTTGACAGGAAGACAGAGGCATAGAGAGAAGACAACAGTGAAGAAGAAAAAGAAAAACCAGGTGGTGGTGACATACAACTTCAATCCAGGCAGAGGCAGAGGCAGGTGGATCTCAGTGAGTTTTGAGATCAGCTGGGTCTACAAAGTGAGTTCTGACTGTTACACAGAGAAACCCTGTCCTGAGAAACACACACAAAAAAGGTAGGAAATCTGTGTATGGTGGTGTACACATTTAATCCTGGCACCAAAGAGGCAGGCAGATCTCTGTGAGTTTGAGGTCAGCCTGGTCTACATAATAAGCTCCTATATCAATAAGCAGAAAACAGTGCATTTTAATTTTATTTCATTGGTAGGAGATTATTTCATTAAAAATATTTTAACATCTAAAAAGGTAAAACAAAAGAAAAAAATCTACAAGAACATATCATTATAAAGAGCAATCCAGTGATTCTGTCATATTCAGTATGGGTCTACATGCCTGTGATATAAAAAGAATGTTTCTAACACAGACTTCTGTCTTCCATCCAGTCCCCTTATCTCGAAAATTGCATCCTTTCAATCTTTCAACTACTCTGAGACATTAGTTGCTACAGTGTAGTATTATAGAATGGCTCTGATACTATAGTCTTTAAACACTGAGAGAACCAGAAAGTATGAAAATGACCCCCATTTACCTCTAAGAATGAAGGATGAGTTTTCAATCAGGGAAGATGAATCACAGGCAGGATTGGTTCTGGACCCCCCCAAAACTAATTACTCAATGTTTCTTTGTTTCTTTTCATCCTTGGCAATGGCTGGAGATTCTTTATTCCCTTGATGACTGAAGGTGCTAACCTCCCATGGAGTACGTAGGAGTACATTCTCCCTAGAGTTTTCTTTAGTGGCTACCCTTCCCCCATCACCATTTAGAATCCATAAAGAACCTTGTACCCAATGCTACCAGATTAATAGTAATGGACCATGGGTGTTTGCAATAGTAAGAGCATGCTGGCTGTGTAGATGACCTACCTTAGGCTCTGACCCGCTGGACCCTTCTTCTTCGTGGAGGTTGAGCCTGGCCTTGCCATCAGCAGAAGTCCTAGTCATCTTTTTCATGCTGACAGGCACACAGGGTTTAGGTGCATCTTCTATGACAAACTTGTTGGTTTCTTCCAGAGATTTCTGATAGGCTGCGAGGGGTGATGCTGGTTCCTCAGTGCGACCAGATCCGTGTGTTTTTGGTTTCAGATTCTCCTTAATGCTCTGTTTTCCTACGTCATTTTGGGATTCCGGAAAATAGGACTTTGCCTTTGCTTCCAGAGTGCCTTCTGCATGGCTTCCATTTGCTTCAAATTTCCCAGGTTCTCCTTTGAGATATGAGGTAATGGAATCTCGAACCTGATCAGAGCTGTGAAAGATACAATATGCAAATTCATAATGGCAAAGTGTGATGGCTTCAGGGTATGGTTTCAATACCCATGTTGCTAAACCACTTTAAAAAAATTAATTTTGTTGGTGTTTTTCCTGTATGTATGTCTGTGCGAGGGTGTCGGATCCTGGAGTTACAGACAGTTGCGAGCTACCATGTGGATGCTGGGAATTGAACCTGGGTCCCCTGGAAGAACAGTCAGAGCTCTTAACCATTGAGCTATATCTCCATCCCTGCCAAAATTCTTCCAAAGACATAAAATAAGCATGAAAAAATTAGCAAGTGGATTTAAAATGTGAGGGCCTTTCACAGATGGGCCAGTGAGGTGTATTCAGGCTATAGGTATCCCCAGCACCCAACTTCCAACATAACTATGAGACTGTCACTTTAAAAAAAAATCATTTTCCATAGCTAAATTTTATACCTTAAAAATGTTGATGGACATATAGTTCCAACCTCACCAATTTTAAAGGGAAGGCTAGTGAAGAAACACTATCATGTCACTAATGAAAAACAAACGCCAGGCATGGTGGTGCACGCCTTTCATCCCAGCACTTGGGAGGCAGAAGCAGGTGAATATCTCTGAGTTTGAAGTCAGCATGATGTACATATAGAGTTCCAGGACTGTTATACAGAGAAACCCTATCTTGAAAACCAAACAAGAATAAATAAAAAACAAAAAACAAACAAACCCAAACACTGCCTGAGAAAAATAGAACAAAAAGGAGTTCCTGAGTGAAAACTGCATTTTTTTCAGGGATCCTGACTTGAATTCTTTGTAGGTTTTCATCTGTCCATATATGTGTCACACGGTCTCAAACAAAATGCCCTTATTGGACCTCCTTTGTCCATGCTAGCTCTCCACTGCTTTCACTGACCAACACATCTTCTGTTCACTATGGGAACTCCTTTCCTAAGCAAGGTAAGTCTTTTCTTTACTACTTTCAACATAAACCATTTGTTTTATTTTGTAGCTCACACGTCATTTCTAGTGTTGTACTCATTGCCCAGAAGAGGCAACTTGTTAGTACATTAACCTTTTATGTTAATGAAGAAATGCAAACACAAATGCATTTAGAAATTTATCCAAGGTCAAAGTGTCTCCCTTACAGTGGTGGGGTGTGTCCAGGGTCTAGAGCCTTACTTTCTAGAGCAGGGCTAGCATAAAGATGAACCAGAAGCACACTGACAGAATTACTGTAGTTATACATTGATGGCTATTTTGGTTGTAAGGAAATGTCTATCATGTTTCCGTGTAAAAGCCTATGTATATAAAAATGGAAGAATGTGGCTGGGCATAGCCAGCACTTGCGAGGCAGAGGCAGGTGGCTCTCTGAGAGTTCAGGGACAGCCTGATCTACAGAGTGAGTTCTAGAGTAACTGGGACAACAAAAAAAAAGTTACAAAAGAAAACTGGAAGAATAACATGTTTTCCTGAGTATAGTAGGGGTGTTTTGTTTCTCTAGATTTCTTACATGAAGATAGAAAATTGACATCTGCTGCCTCATTCCTTTTTTGGGGGGTGGCGTGCTGGAGATTAAATGCAGAGCCATGCACATTTGGTTTGCATATATGCTGCTGCTGAAACACACCTTTATTGTTTCAGACTTTTCCTGGTGACTATTGCTGGATGGCAGGTTTTGTCAGGTTTTTAATCTCTAATATCTTGTATCATCCCATTTATATCTGTAGTTATGAAACAAGACAAATGGTAATATCCATAAAAGATCTGGGCTTTCAATTATGAAATGACTTCAATGGGACACTGCTGACTTTGAAGAGAGACGAAGATAAGAAACCAGCAAAGTGTCTTCTCATCAAGCCAACGTCTAGATCTTTGGCATGTAAGTAACTGTGCTTTGCTTTTTACTGCAATAAATTCACCTTTCTCTAGGGAATATGTCATAATGAAACCAATCAGTAAAGAAGGTATGTCCTGGAACAGGTCAAACCATTTGGAATAGGGAGTCAGTGCCAAAAAAAGCAGCTGTTTAAAACAAAGTACAGACAGCACACACTCACTTTTCAGGTGTACTCCCCGAGACATAGCCGTACCTGTCATCCAGGCGGTCTAGTAACCCACCAGTTATTCTTCGGGCTTGTGCCGGGGACTCTAGGCTTCCACTTGATGTCTCGTTCTGCCAACCTGCAAGTGAAGACATTGCCAGTTCTGCTCGTTGCACACAGTTAAGAATATCCTGCACTTTTTCTTCTGTCATCTCCTCAGACTCTACTCCTTCTTCAAGTTGAATGTCCTCAAATAGGGATTTGAGCTTTTCTTCTGCCATCTCCTCACCAGGACCAGATCTTCCTTTCTCCTGCTGCTCAGAGCTTATGGCTACTTTTCTAGTCTGTGGTCTCAGCGGCTCTGCCGGCATACCATCTTTTGGGACCCCAGCCACACTTCCGAGGTACTGAGGACACTCACTCAGGCACATGTCCTTCATCTGGCTCTCGTCTACATCCCGTGGGCCAACCATTTCTGTTACAGTTACTGAGTCTTCCAGTTTGCTGTCTTCTAAGGATGTGTCCTCTGCAGTTACCACTGGAGGTCCACCTGCTGAAGGTTCTAGGTTTCCCTGGGAAGGCATTAGCCCGTCACTCAGTCTACTGGGGGTTCTAAAGGGAGAATCTAAGCTAGAGATATCACTAAAATGGTCATCTTGCTGGAAAGGGGTGGCTGGTGTGCAGTACAACCCCATGGGGGTCTCCAGCTCCACTTGAAGGGAAGGGTGACCTATGGAAGACAGTACATTTGGACTGACTGGAATGAGCTGGAACACATTAGACACAAACACATGGGATGACTCAAATTATATCAGGTATGACAATGCATGATGGATTACAGAACAATGTACACACGTTGATAGTTTAGTTCAGTTACATGTAATTTAATGAAATAAAACAATGGCATTCTATCAATTTTTAATACAGCATCATAACTATGCAGATGAAATGAACTCAATAGAAAGTTAGTTGTCGTATCTGGAAGACACGTGGCTCACGGCTAACACATCGTTCTCATTTTAGCATGCAAAACCTATACTATGGTAGAATGAATACAACAAGCTGTAAGAAGCCGGAAGAGGCCAATTCTGTAACCAATTCCCTCTTGCTTAGGTTAATAACACAATCCAGTTCTAATTCTTACTCATTTACATGAAATTTATGGGAGAAAATAAGGAATGAATTTACACTCCAGAAAGAAATGATTGATGAATTTTTAGAGCCACAGTCGTGTTGGCTGAACAATTTAGAAGGATGTTAGACAAGATAAATGACAACATGTGTGGCAGGTGTCTTAATGTCACAGAGACAGTTATGTGAAGCTGGTGATGGGAATCTGCTTAGAATCATGAGGCAAATAAAGAGAAAAAAATGATACACATGGAGACAGGAGGAGAGCCTAAGGTTAAGAGGATCCAGGATTTAGCACAGTGCTGTGCCAGCCTGCTCAAAAGGGAAGGAGGGGGCTAACTCCTGATTCTAAGCAATCTATAGAAGAATTTCCTGGCCCCAGCAGTGAGAAAGTCAGTAATAGTCTGGTCATGGTGAGGAAAGGGAGTTTCCCAAAAGCTCAAATTTTGTTTTAAAAAGCAGCAATGCATTTTCTCAGTTCATTGGTCTACAAAACCAAAGACCAGCTTTTCCTATTAGTTCAAGGCAAACAGCTATTGGTGGAGGTTCAAATTGCTGTAGGTTAGTGGACATTGGTTGGTTACAGCCACCTATAATATGAGCCTCTTACTAAAATCCAGTTAAGATATGACTTATAGTTTGCATAAGTAAATTTATTTCATGCCTAAATTTCCCTCAGAAATTTTAATAAAAAGAACTATATGATAGTGAGATACAATAACAAAAAGCCCTGGTGAGCTTATTTTAATGATATTCAAACTTTGCAGTGTTAAACCAAAATGGACCAAGGATACCACACTTGTGATTTCTTTTTCCAGTAAAGAGTAGAGGAAGCTAAAACAGTAACTTGCCAGTAATTCTTAATTTGCTGTATTGATCTAATACAAAAGGAATTTATCAACACATATAGCCTACTACATAAGACAAGGCATACAATAGTGCATGTGTTCCAAGAAACCATGGTATCATGCTCTGTGGGTTTACAGATACACTTCACCTGTAGTAAACAAGCACTTTCTAAGATTCTGTGACCTTTCACACTGTGACACATACAGAATTTTAAAAGTCCCTGGCTCTTATGAGTCTAATTTTGTCAGTTAAAAATGGAAAAAGAGAATGACCATATTTCTTGACCCTTGAACTAACAGGACAGTATCTTTGGCTAGTCTCGTGTATGCCACGCCATTATTTTCCATTCACCATTCACCGTGGGGACAGATTCTCACGTGTGAAGTAAGACAGGAATAGCTTCAAAAACATGGCTGGCTGTCATGTTTTTCCTGACAACTAATGAATGGGGAAGGGGAATGTTAAATTAAGCTAAACCAAAAGGTTATTAGTGATTTGTGTGTGTGTGTGCACACACTCACTAAATTAGAAAGAACGCACAACACACTAAATATTGCCATTCCTCTACCCCAGGAATTACTGGTAGAATGCAGGTTAATGTTAAGTAACTAACATTACTGGAATGGTGGGAGACTTCTCCACTGCACTTTTTAAAGAATTTTATTTGTTATATATAGTGTTCTACCTGCATGTATGCCCATACACCAGAAGAGGGCACCAGATCTCACTATAGATGGTTATGAACCACCATGTGGTTGCTGGGAATTGAACTCATGACCTCTGGAAGAGCAGCCAGAGCTCTTAACCTCTGAGCCATCTCTCCAGCCCCTCTACTACACTTCTACATGCTTGGTCCCACAACAGGGATTCACTGTTCACCCCAGGTACTGTTTACTGCAAACTGGGCTCAGCATGTTACCTCCTTGGTTAAAACTGAGCTCATGGTTTTATTTCACTTTACATATGAAATCACTGGGTTAAAAAAACACATTAATTTTAAATGCCAAAGCATTGCATTTTGCAGGTATTAACTTTTCTTCCATTTGGGGGCACAGAAGAGTCACAGCTCTTTCAGATGCTGTGTTTTTATATTTCATCCTCTGTGCTGTAGAGAGATGTTTACCGAGCCTACTCTGGTATTTGAGAGTGCTCATTTGCAGACTCTGGCAGAACAAAAACACTGTGAAAACAAGAAGTTGAGTCAAGCAGATCATGGTGCAGGTAGCTGCCTTGACTGACAGCACTTTTCAGATTTTATATCAAATGATCAAATACAAACACTAAATGCAATTACCATCAACTGGGTCATGGAAAACATTGTTTTCATCTGCAAAGCTTCTGGTGCCTGAAATATTCCCATAATCAAAAATTGGTCCTTCTAGCAGAGTCACTATGTCTATTCGATTAATTTTTGTCAAGACCGAAGTTAAGGCATCAGCTGAAAAGGAGAGAAAAGAGGTTGAGAACCCAGTGGCATTATTTCCTGCAAGTTAACACAAAACCTCCCCCCATCCCCCCCAAAAAAGCATGACTTTGGCTAGCATTTCAGCTCCCTACTTAGCTCTGCTGGATCCATGTCCAGAATGCTGGCTGCCCCAGGGAAGACTCCTACTTTAAAGCTGTCTGTGGAGGCCACAGGATTCATCCCACTGTGGCAGGGCAGATAGATGGTCTTCAAACACCTGTACTCTGCTAGGGGCCTAATACAGTTTCAAGTTCCCTTGACTCTCAGAATGTCAATGCCTCATCTTTACAGCCAATGCTTAACATTTTAATCAACTACCAAGATCAAGCTGAGCAGGCAAATCCTCCATAGCTTACCCCATACTGCAGTGGGTGAGTGCCGGGTGTTTTGAACTCAGTCACTAGCACCTACCCAAATCTAGTTAAAGCAGAGGATTTACCACTGCCCCAGCCTGGGTACAACTGGCTGGCTCCCCTAACGTGCCCCATCCTCCTCTGTACTGCCCTCCACAACTGCCCTGGAGGCAGCAGTGACTTCAAAGCTGATTTTCTGCTGACCATCCCATGACAGAAGAGTTATTATTTCTCCCTCCATTTTTAGTAGATATATGGAAAGAAGGTCATACAAACTGCAAATTGTTTCCTGCCACTTGATTCCCAGGAAACCTAAGCACAGGACTCTAGGAGACCAGGGCTTAAAGAAGTGTCACTCTAGACTTTCACTAGCTCCTCCCATTCGCTACAGGAAATTACAGGATACTGAAAATCCCGGGATAAGCCCAAAAGCAGATTTCTCTAAGAAATTAACCCCGTGTGGTTTCTGAAAGTTAATATATATATAATTTTAAGCATACTTGTGGCATTCTTTCCGTCTCTGGTAACCCACTTTTTTAATAACATGAAGCTTTGGGATATTAAGGAATTGGGATTTTCCACACGTATCTGATTGATTTCATCCACTGAAAAATTGAGTTCCCTTGCCAACTCTGTGAAGAGAGAGAGAGTTAGGAAGTGTATTTGTTACTTTGCACACCCTTCATCAACATCACATTCAACTCCTAACACCCCATGCCAAGCAACAATAACAACAAAACTAGAGAAAGAAATGAATTGTAAAGAAAAGCCCTTTCCTAGAGTTGGGCAATCTGGTGCTTGATTATTTTTTTATAGGTAGGCTGTGTCCAGACTTTCCCTAGATAATTACTAACCACTAAATTCCAATTAGAAATCTTTTCTTTTTTTTTTTGAGACAGGGTTTCTCTGTGTAGTCTTGGCTGTCCTAGAACTAACTCTGTAGATCAGGCTGTCTCTGCCTCCCAAGTGCTGGGAGTAAAGGCGTGCACCACCACATCCAACTAGAAAAAAAATTTGGAGATTCTTTGCATTGTAGAGAGGATGTGGCTGGTTTCTTTTGATTCAGCCACATTCTCTGCAGATTGGACAATTGTACACAAGACAGGGAGGAGCTTACTACTCCTGAGCATGCACAGAGACAGTGAGTGGGTTGCTCTGAGCAATCCAATTGAAGCACACCTCTTACTTATTTGCTAAAGTAAATGGCTAAGCCTTTGTGTTTCATGATCTCTACTTGGGAGGTTAAGTGATAACTCCAGGGAAAATCATGCCTGTGATATGCAGCCATTTGTGTGAAAAAAAAGAGGGATTGCTATATGTCCAAGTTTATGCTCAATTTTGTAAACACATATTAAAATTAAGATAAACTCAACATGGTCATCAAGATGGTTTGGTATGTCAAGGCACCTGCCACTAAGCCTGATAACCTGAGTTCAACCCCTTTAAACCTTGGGATAGAGACCTTGGGAAAGGAGACATCTTTTCATCACTTATCACTTTTAAAAATAAGTATGTTTTACCTTAATTGCTATAAAGCAAGAAATATGAAGAATTGCTTCCATGGAAAAGGGATTGGCCAAGATTCTATTCCTGTCAAACATTTCCAAAAACTCAGCAAAATGAATTCAGAAATTCAAGAAGTCCTCATGTTTTGGTCAAGTGTATTGCTGCTAGAAGTCTATATTGGTGGTGCACAGGGGCTTATAAAATGATTTGCACACACATGAGTAGTCACTGCAGACTTGAATGACTGGAAACTTGACAACTGTCCCCTTGTTGAACAAAAGGAGGAAGTTTTCTGATATGATTGTTTTTAAAGTTTTGTGACCACGGTGGACAGTTAGAAGTGTATCATATAAAACAGTGTTTCTGTAACTGAAAACAGCTTACCTCAGCACAAAATTTAGCCTTCATACATGTGGGCACAGACACTTTCACAACAACAAAAGCTTAAATTCATGTCATGACTCTTAAGCATAGTGGTTAGGAAAAAATACCATCACATGTATAGATTCATTATCCATCAAAGCCAGGACCAGCAGATAATAATTTTGGAGAGAACTACAAAATTTGTATTGTGAACGAAACAAGATTATTATAAAAATCAATGCTTATGAACGATAGTTTGAAGAGACACTTTTCCACATTGTTTAAATACTGAAAAATTTCTAATGGTCTTCATTGATCACACAGTTGTTCTAATTAAAGAGGTTAATTCCAGTTTTAATTCCACCATCTGTGTACGTTTTAGGTAACAAGAGTCCTATCACCCAAGAAATCCTCAAAAGCAAATATTATTTATTGCTCTGAAGACTGGAAAAAGGCACATTGGCCCTGGAGAATTCAGAGTTGGAGAACTTGATTTTATTTCTTCTTTTCTACTCCTGGGGATTAACTGAGGCTTTGAGCATGCTGGGCCGCTGGGCTCTGTCCCCAGCTCACCTGGGTCTTCTCCTGTGCCACATCTCCAAAAATCTACTCTGGGAAACTAAGGACTCACCATGTTAGACAAATGAAAATCTGGTTGTTATTCAGTAACAATGCAAACAATCATCATGCATTCTCTTTACTTTTCAAGTCAATGACCTATGTTAAAACAGAATTGGTGTTAAGATGGGCTTTGTAGGGAACAATTTACAAATGTAAACCAGTATTAATTCTTCTTCACCTTCAGGGTGTTACTCAGACACCGGACATACCAGAGTTCCCAGAAGTCCCTGACCCTTACCAGCTCATCTAGAGCAGAGGCTTGAGACCAGGTAAGGAGGGCTTTGTAATTTGGTAGGGCTGGGAGGTGGGTCTGAGGCATACAAAGGAAAAATACAGATGTTTTTTTTTCCTATAGCCTAGTTATACCTTCCCCCTTTAACAACAGATAATGAAAATGGATGTGGTAGCTGATATATAAGATGATCTTAGACAGATACTTATGTTTAATACTTATTTTTTTTTACTAGTTTAGTTATGCATGGTCTATCGTCATAAAAGAAATCAATCATTTGCTCCAATGTTCCAGCATATTTTTAGTGGAATGCCCAACATCTTTAGATGTGCATTTAAAAGATATATTCAACCTAGGAAACATCACATTTCTTCTTAGATTCGCATGAGTCAGGATATGGGGTGGGGGCTTGTTAGGACCAACACTATAATGCTACATTTTTTAGGTGACATAGCCCTGCATTTGACTTTAGTGATGTGAAACAAAGATGGATATTTCCTTTCCATCACCTTGAATTATTAATGGTTTCATAGAACCGAAGCACCTTTGTGAATTGCATCTATTTTACTTACTTATATCCTTTCCCAAAAATTAACTTACGATCGAGGCTTTCATTCCTTTTTATTGGTCATAGAAATATCTGAAATATTTTTTGGTCTCTTTGTCAAAGTAAGGTAAGGTTTTTCCATTTAAACTGATCCTAAGACAGAATAGTAAGTTCATCTAAAAGCATTAGTCCAATAAAGGCACAACAATTGGGTAAATACTATCCTGGAAGGCTAAGTAACTGGCTACACCGGAGCATGCGTTAATTGAACCATTAGCTAAAAGTGCCGTTTTAACAACAGAGATCATGTTAATTATGTAGTCATAGTCTTAGCTGGGTTTTCTTGAATGCTCCCTAAGGCATGTGCCCTAAGTTACAAAGCTATTCTCTTACAGAAATGGCCAGGTGAAGAAAGAATTTAAAGGTCTAACTTTGTACATATACAGAAAAAAACTAGGGGGTATGGTTGCTATCAGTAATTATCAAGGCGGGTAGAATTATGGATAATGTTTTACTGTTTGCTTGTTTGTGTATTTGGAGATGTATAGGATGGTTTTTGCAAGTGACGAAGACAAGGACACTGGGGAAGGATACCTGATTCATTCAGGAGCTTATGTACTTACCTGTCCAACTAAGTCCCAGGTGATCGGCTACTATTGCCATCCTGATATCTGTCCGCTCACAAGGACTCTGTGGACCTACGATTTACAATTTCTCAATTAAAACAATCGCCAAGGAAGACACGACACTGGAAAATTGCTTTTCGAAGTACTCAGTTTTTTTTTTTTTTTTTTTTTTTTTTACAAAGACTGAGACTAACACTGTGTACTTAGATGTGTCCTAGTCACCTACACAAACACTTCTTGTCTGTCACTCTCGTCAGGCCAAATGCCAGATTACATGGATGCTCGTAATGTAATGAGATTGAACATGCTGGTGAGCTGGCCGCTTTACAACGGTCACAGTATCGCGTTTGTGGCAACAACCATGATGGAATCTGAACATCTGCCTTGGCTCTGACAGAGTCATAATCCGTGAGCACATTAGAAAAGAAAATCTTTCACATCTTTGAATGACACCAGTGTAGCATGCTTCCCTAGCTCTCTACAGTGTAGCTGGATTGAAAGAGGAGAGAAGAGCATCTAGGAGAGCACAGACAGATGACAATGACAGAATGAGAAGCTACAGTTAAACCACTCCACAAGCAATCACGACAGGTCATGCACTAGGGTCTACGAGTTGGAAAGTGTTTACGGACTATGCTGTTTCTCCAGGTTGTGAGCAAAGAGCGCTCAAGAAACCTGACTGCCTTCGTTCTCACCAGTCCTTCTACTGCCGGCCTTTCCACTCTTTGCTTTTAAAGGTGTTGCCTCTGTTCTCTTATCTCTAGCAGACTTCGTGGTAACTGAAGGCTGGCCACCCCGGGAAGTCTCGGACAACGACGTGTTTCTTGAGGTACTCTCTTCCTCATCAGACAACTCCGACTGCATCTTTTTGTCTTCTTCAGTGAGGCGGTCCACAAGTTTTAGGGTCTCACCACTAATTCCCTTAAAATATTCAATGGGATGTTTACATACTGCCTTACGCTGACTTTCTCTAACTTTAACGGTGGTGGTTTTGGTGGTGGTGGTAGTGGTGGTGTTGGTGGTGGTGACGGTGACACAGGTGGATCTTACCTTTACTGGCAACTTGGATGGAGGCGGTTTGGCCTTGCCTTTCTCTGGCTGCCCTCGCTTTTGTGTGGCACATGCTTTTCTGACTGAAACTAGGTTCTCCCTGTATGTGTTTTTGACTGGAATTCGGGACTTGGCATCTACACATGAAGAAATAGGAAGGGTTCTGTTTTTCTCAGATGGACCAACCTGCCTCAGTTTACCTGCTTTACTGTCTGGTTTATGGTTTGACGGGAAGACATCTTTTGGTGCAGTGGCCTTTATGGGAAGCTTGGATTTCCGCCTAACCCCTATTGGTTCCTTCCGAGAATCTCTGATGCAGTGTCCTTGTGTCCCTGGACTCTTTCCTGAGCCTTTCACTGGATTAGCTTTCTCTGTGGTACGAGTGGGTGCAGCACATCCTGTCAGAACTACATGATTTTTAGTGTTATCTGTCTGTATAGTGGAAGAATCCAGATTATTGTTGTTATTGAAGTTATCTTTTTGAAAATCGTGTTTCTCTTGGGACCTAACGCCCACCTGGCTATTGGGTGCACTTGAGATAACTGTCATCATTTCGTTTTCTAACCCCTGGCAACTGGTCACCACAGCCTCTATCTTATCTGTCACTTCTCCAGAGCCTTCTTTCTTCATGGTCATGGTAGATGCGGAAATTCCCATTTTTATAGGCGTGCGTGACTTGGGGTCAACTTTTGAGGTATTAGCAGCAGCTGCTGACTTCTCCAGAGAGCCACTACAGGCTGCGCCTTCCTGACACTCTCCGATGGTCAGGATGCTGGGGTTGGGTTCAACTGTAGGTGCCTCTACATCTCTCTCTAGATTGTTGTCTACCGAGGTGTCCCCTGACTGTGGCTGTGGGGTGTCAGTGACCATACTGCTATCCCCTTCCCCCTGGGCCCCTGACTTCCCTTCAGGAGTATGCTCACCAATCTGGAAAAATTGGAGCCTCTCTTCCACAAAATCTCTCTTGCTCATGTCAATTGCACCACTGCGGGTCATCTCAAACATTTTCCCCTCATGAAATGGAAAGGGGTTAGGCTCGCTAGTTGGGGTACTCTCATCAGTTGGTGTTCTGGCCGGCGTTGTGTCAGGGGTGGTTGCCGGAGAGCGGTCGTCCACCGCCAGACCAAATGGCTTAGTGTCATCTTCCCGAGATTTACCGTCAAAAACTTCATTGTCCCCTCGGTTATTGGGCCAAGGGTCAAAATCTAGACCCTTGGTCGCTACTGTTTTAAAAGGAGTGGCGAATTCTTCATCAACTTTGTAACTGAAGTAAGTATCAGGAAACACCGATCTGTCTGGATGTCTGCCTTCCAGGGTGAAGAACTGGGCCCCTGACTTGGGATCGCTCTTCTCTGGGGTTCTATCCGATGAAGAGCTTTTGGAAGACGATGGCTTCTCTTCATCCAGTCCTACTTTCCCCTCCTCCTCAATAACTTCTAGTTTACTCTGACTGAAAGAGCGGTCGGCCGGCTTCAGGATGCCCTCTGTCCAGACGTCCTTCTTGGTGTCCACAGTTTGACTGGGGAGTTTAGAGTCACTCTCTGTTAGGCCATCATCCTCATCTTGTAGGTCATAGCCATCCAGAGAGTCAATCTCGGTGGCATCGGTGTCATGGGAAAACTCGGCCGTGGTTGCGATGGAACACTCAGTGACAGACTGGTCATTGTTTCCATTCTGAGCTGTTTCGTTCTGAGGGGAGTCAAGGCCAGACTCACTCTCTCTCCCATTACTCTCCACCTCTTTCTGGTTGGAAGCCTTCGTAGCAGCAGTTTTGGATTTGGCCATGTCTTTCTGTCCTTCATCAACTTCCTTTAACTTGAAGGTGTACTTTTTAACCGGGACTGGTTGATACATGGACTCATCATCATCGCTGGAGTCACTGGCATCAGCGCCAGGAGGGACCGGTGATGGGGGCTGCACTCGGATGACGGGTTCAGCCAACTGGTACTTGTCACACTCATCCTGAAGGTTGACCTCAATCATGTCAACCTCCCTTTCAGGGAGATACTGATGTTTCTTATCTGATTCCATCTGGTCAGCATCCAGAGGGGGAGGAGGAGGAAACTCAATATAGGCAACTCGGTTACATTTGGGTCTTTGGGTCGAGTCTCTGCTCACATCACGATCCGTTTCCCGCTCCACAGTCACCTGCTTTAGGGGGGCTGATTTGGGTTCCTCCGACTCCGACTCCTCAGAAACCTCGGGAATTGGGCTAGGTTGTCCCGGTATAAAAGCTATGAGGGAGTCTGGCGTCTTAGAGGTGAACTCATAACTCACTTCCTCTGAGCTGGGAGTTTCTGGGGTCAAAGGGCTCTTCCCAGAGCTGTCTAGAAAGGACACTTGCTCTAGAGTATCGTCTTCTGGACTGCCCTGGGGAGAAGGAGGCTGCTTTTGCTGTCTGGCTGTATAGAAGGTTCCCCTGGCTTCCTGCACTGTCTTACATTCCTGACTTATGATTTTTTTTACACCTCCTTGTTGGAGTTCCTTTTCATACTGTTTCCCCACTTGTACGAAGCTGACATAAACAGGTAAGGTTTTGATCTCTTTCCCTCCCTCTATCTGGGCTAGTGGAGCAAGCTTCTCCAACCCCTCCATGGAACCGTGGTCGAACACATCACTAGAAGGAGAGTCCTTTCCTGGGCTAAACTCTAACGAATCGGGAGATCTGGTGGGAGAGGTCTCGGTTTCATCGAGAACTGGACAGAGGCCTACGTAACTCTGTTTGGAAACTTTGCTGATCTCAGAATAGGTAACTTTTTCATCATCTATGGAATTAAAGTGCTGATTCTCCACTATCTCTTTGCTCACACTTGACCGTGACACTTTTTGGGATAGTTCATGTTTTGGAAATGTTGACTGCTCACAAAACCCATCAGGAATGTTAGAAGGCAGCATCTTCCTCTCGTCTGCCACCCTGATGGGAATGTGAGATCCCACTGAGCTCTCGCTTTTCCTGGGAAGATGGTGGAGAGCGCTGCTGGGAGGACGGTCCCCTTCTTTAACAATATATTCCCTGTATAACACTTTCTTGGAGGGAGATTTTACACTCATTTCCTTAATTTCTGAGAGAGAGCCATTCGTTAACAATTTGTGTTCTCTCTCAGTCACACACATAAATTCATTCTTTGGATCAGCATTCTCGCTCTCGTCGGGGCGACCAGTATGACTCTCTCTGATATCGTGAACAAGCACATGCGACAGTTTCTCTCTCTGAGCCTCATTGTTACTGGCCCCAGAACTTTCCCATGTTCTAAAGACCTTTCTGTCCCATGGTCCCTTGGTTGCTAGGTCTGATGTCATGGGACAGGCCGAGTCTTCTTCAGCCTGCTGCTCAGGGAAGAACTCGGGCATTGCCTTACTTAGCATCTCAGTTCTGTGTCTTTTGGCATCATCGGGGCCAGATTCATTCACAACAATGTCATTGTTTTTGGTATGCTCGACTTTGACTATGGTAACATCATTTTGCACTGGCCCTCTCTCCTCTGAGAGGTCTACGGCCTTCTGCTGTTTTTCTCTAGCAAAACCTGGGTGTGTGGGAAGCTTGTTTTCTTGAGTTTTCTTAACTGGGATTCGGGATGGGCCTTCCAGATTTTTCTCTTCCTGAGATGGGTCCTTACTTTTTGCACGGGTGCCTTGTTCAAATTTTAATCGTATGGAACTGAGTTTAGATTGTTTGAGCTGAAACCCAGACTGGGGCCCTTCTGGTCCCCTGCCCTGAGCAATGACAGTTCTTTTGGCTTCCTCTGTAGGCTGGCCATCCTCACTCTGTTGGGAAGGGACCCTCTTCTCTGGGCTGCTGGACCCACTGTGTGTCTTCCTGTCCTCAGCCTGAGGGACACCTTGTCCATCTTGACCACGCTGCCTGGCCTTAACCCATTCGTCATTGGATGCCAATAGTTCTGTTAACACCCTCTCGGGACTACTGCTGGTGGAACTCTGGGAAGAGCATTCTTTGCCATTTTTGGGGCGTGGCTTTTTCTCCGGGGACTGCAGTTCATCATTTAGCTTCTCGGTTTTGTCACGAAAAAACTGTGACACTTCAGTCAATTTCTCTTCAGCCTCCTTCACAGTCCTGTCCACCCTATCTTCATATATTAACTTTTCTCTACCTCTGTCTAGTCTGTCCTCAGACAAGTGCATCCACATGGCATGTTTTGGACCACTGACATTACCCGCATAGTGCAACACTGTCACTTTATCAAAATGCTCATCTTTAGACACTCTCCCTATACCATTTTCAGACACATCTTTATAGATTTTGGAGAGGATTTCTTTCTGGGGGGCAGTGGCTACTTTATCTCTGGAGCGCTTATCAGACCTCTGTAACTGTGAGCTAGGGGGTCCTACAGGGTCTGTCACCGACTCCTCGGTATCAGAGTGAGAAACATCTAACTTCTCTGACAGGAGCATTTTCTCAGCAAACCTGTAAGACTCCCCTCTTAGGTCTGACAACTCATCATCATGGTATTCTACGGAGTGCTGACTCAACAGCTTCAGTGTTTTATAAGAGTCATCGGATAGGAGCTGTGCGGAACTGGGGCGGCTATCTTCTTCTTGGGACACTGGAGTGTTTACTCTGGAAGATTCCAGATAAGAAGGCAAGGACTCTTCTGCTGCAAGTTCTTCTTCTTCTTGCTGACCCTGCTCCTCGGGGCAAGGAAAAGCATCGTGTTTCTCTGGCAGAAAATCTTTTAAGTTAATACTTCCCCGGGATAAGTCTTTCTGACACCCAGGTACTTCCTTCTCTGGGTGCTTTTTGGTCTCTCTAATAATGACTTCAGTGGGTTCAGCTTGGTTACCTTTTTCGATGTGGACTTCTATTATACGCTCCAGTTTGGGTTTCATTTGGTTGTCCTTCTCTGCGTGCTGGGCTGAGGTCTCAGCAGCAGACTTGGGGACATCTGGAGACATGGCCGACTTGTGTTCAAACAGCCCTGCCAGCTCTTTGGAAGGGTCTCGCCCAGACTGAAAGGCTTTCATGATGTCGTGGACTGACATGGTTTCCTCAATTCTTTCTGAGGCACACTCACTGCCGGGAGGGGAGTGATACACCATCCTGGTGGTTGTGGTGATATGAGTCTCCTCTTTGACACGCATGCCTTTACTTAAAACCCGACTGTGATCCTCTTCCTCACTACTGGCTTTCATTTGAAATGCTTTTACTTTTTCCTTAATGCTAGAGGTGGTAGGCTTTGGCTCCAACTCCATAAATGTAGCTGACGGTTTGGGGGACATAGGGTCCTCTGGCTGAGACTGGGGGATGTCACCAGTAGAGGGCTCATAGCTCCTGATCACATGGACCACTTCAGTCCTTGTCTCTGTGATGACGGGAGGGATGGGAACTTCATGAAAAAGTGGCTTAGGGCCTGTGCTCTCAGCACTTTGTGGTGCTGATGGTGTTTTCTCGCTTCTGGTTTCAAAGCCACTGTCGGACAAGGGACTTTTATCTTGGTCGTGTTGAGAAAAGTCATCAGGAGACTCTAAGATGGCATCTGATCCAAAGAAAGAGTCAGCCATCTTGCACAATTCCTTCTCGGAGGTGGAAGGCCTCATGGAGGCTGGCGGCATTTTGAGTTTATGCTCCTGCAAGGCCATGGCTGGCTTGAGAATCCTTTTCTGTCTCTCCTCTCCATCCTTCTTGGCATCTTCAAACTTGCACTTTAAGTTGGTCAATGAACTGCTCCCAATGTCATTGGTCAAGTAGTCAATGACTCGACTCAGGTTGGCCTTCCCATGCACTTTCTCAGGCGGTGATGGGGTGTGGCTGGCAGCAGCCTGCCTGGCTTCTTGTATTTCCTCAGAACTGAATTCTATCCAATCATCCTCTGGAGAATGTCCTTTGTCACTCTTTGGGGATTTAGGTGGCCCTTTGCTGTCAACACACACATCCTTTTTGAGGATCTCACTGACTTTCACTAAGTCTTCCTTCACTTTCTCGACAATTTTGAAAGGTTCTTCATCATCTATCCTCCCTTCTTTGGGAAGGTCCGGTTGGAATGGCTTTTCCTCAGGCACGTCTGTCTGCAGGATGGCGGTCATTCTCATGAGGTCCTCCTTCATTTCAGCCACGTCCTTTAAGATCTCCTGACTGGAAGATAAAGAAGATGGTGCCGACAGCTTAAGGGCAGAGGGTGTGAGGAACAGAGATGACTTAGCAGGAGATGAAGTTCGATTGAAATGGGGCTGGGGGCGTGTCTCCGTAGTCAATGTTTTAATGGGTGACAGCAAAGCCGCTGCCGATTTTGTGAGCGAATTAGAGTCTGGAAGTTTCTTCAATGCTGGTTCGGACAAAACATTGACTACCGAGTATACTGGCACTGTGATTATTGATGACGTTACGGATGAGGTAGTAGCAGATATTGAAGACCCGAGGGAGGTGTAGAGTGCACTTGCGGAGGGCGTTCTAAGAGACTGAAAAGCCGAGGGGGCTGCAGACACATAGGACCTGAGTGGGGAAAAGGGCATGGCTGTTGTGGTAGAGAGTGCTTTCTCCACCGTGTCAGTGGCTGCGCTCACCACTGAACTCACAGCATTTGTAGCTGTAGAAATTTTGTCCTGTAACGTGGCAGTGGCTTTGCATCCATTAATTAAAGCTGAAGATGAAGGGTACTTCAGAGGAGAAACAGACCCATTGACCAGCGCTACCTCTGCATGTCCAGACATCTGCTTTAAGGGGGAGGAGAGAGACGATGCCATCGTAGCTTTAGCTGATGAGATGACATCGGCTGCGGACTTAGTTGGAGATACCACTGACTTCAAAGGTGAAGAGATCAGCGGTGCTGCTGAGGTGATAATCGACTTAAATGGCAAGCTTGAGGAATACATAGTAATGTTTGATTTGGGGGAGGCGGGGGGTGTCATAGTAATGGATGACCTCTCTAAAAGAGACCCTGCGGTTGTCACAGGAGAAGTTCGAGAGGAAAAGGTTGAGGTGGGTGCCAGCCCCTTTAAGGGCGTAGCCTCGGTGGTGACTGTGGGAGCTCTCCCCAGGGTACCAGAGGCAACTTGGATATTGTATGGAGATGGTGACACCACTGTTTTTATTGGCGAAGAAATTGTCCGAAAAGATCTAATAGGAGATGCCACGTCACTAATGGATTTGACCGACGATGTAGTTGATGTGCCTAGTGTGGATTTGATTGGAGAAGGAGTCGAAACAGACCATATGGATTTTAACGGAGATGCTGATGGCGTGTTAGAGGAGGAGCTGGATAAGGAGGCAAAGCCTGACTTGGCCGGCCCGGGTACTGTGACTGGAGCTGTGGTCCAGGACTGGTAAGGTCTTGTAGAAAAGAATGGCTTGTATGAGTAAGTGGTGGGGAGGGATCTTGCTGTTCCTGAACTCCGTTCAACTGTTTCTTAAATTTTAAAATGAAAATCAAACACAAAAAAAAAATCAACAAAAATGGTTGAGAAACAGAGAAGAGACCAGAGAAAAAAAATTGGTCAGTAAACTTGGAAATATTGCAGAAGCAAGTACAATTGTTTGCATGATTTGGGATGGGAGAGGCAAAAAAGGAATGACTTGAAGCAAAAGAGGAAAAATAAACATGAATGGACACGAAGAATCTGAAGTTTAAAAAAAAAAAAGGCGAATGAGGTAAATTAGAATCAGAGCAAGAAATGGAATGGAACACAAGGAAAGCACATAGCAGCCATAGAGGCCAATGATGTAAAGGAGAAACACAGGCAAAGTACTGACAATGACAAAAATGAACACAATGGAAAACGGCCTCCTTACTTCCTATTGACTTTCTTGTGTGCTGGGTTAGAAATAGCAGCAGCCATTCTGTTTTGCCTGTATACATACACATGTTTGTTTTGTGCAACCACAGAAAGTGTTTTTAAGACTCTCAAATGTTTCCTCTGCTACAGCTTGTCCACCATAAGTTGCACCTAGTTAGAACCATTTCAATATGTGAATCCACACATTAAATATTTGAAACTTTTTTTTTTCTCTCTCTCCTTTTCAGAAAAACCACTCAAGCTTTATCATGCAGAGTTCAAAATAACTAGTAAGAGACAGGCAACTTGTGTGCAAATAGTGAAGCCACTGGATTTTTAAATCTGTTTCTTCCATGCAGGATTGGTTATGTTTCACACCCATAAAAAGCCAATAAGAGCAAGAAACTGCCTGAGTCAGAGCTGTCAACCCAAAACTTAAAACAAAGAAGAGGAATGTTTGCATCGATCCTTTTTTCCATGCAGTATATTCCTTTTGATGAGGGGGAGAAAAGAAAATGTGATATGAAATGAGTTTTAAAATGCATGTGTACATACACATATATGAAGGGGGAGGGAACAGAAAATATGGTTCATGGTTACCAGAGCAAGCAAAGCAACTGAAAATGTTTGATCATGCGGCGATTTATCATAACAAACAAGCCAATGAGGTAATACAGTTTCAAAGCAGTATTATGCATGGTATATATATAAATACATTTAAAAATACTTTTTCAAGAACACTTGGAAAGAAGAGTACACTTTTTCCATTAGAGGTGAAATCTTGGTACCTTTTGAGATTTTAGGAAACCTTGTGATACATCATTGAATATATCTGCAACAAAAGAACTCCATAGCTAGATTTTGCTTCATTATAAGGAGAACAAAATTTGTATCTTGACCCCCATTATCTGGTCTACCTTTTAACTCTCAAAAGGTATCGTGGGGGAAATTCAAAAAGCACAAATAAATTTTGAAGACCCCATATATCATGTACCTACAGCAGCGTAAGGTACAAACGTATATATTTATCAAATGCAAAGGTACTGATTCTGGTACTTTTCTAGAATATTCCTCATATTCTTGGTTACTCCAAACACAGCAACAGCCATGAGGAAAGATGGGTCCAATAATACCAACATTCCTCCCAAAACAGTCAAGAAACCCACATGTATGGAGAGTACACACTGGGGACAACAAATGCAAGCCTTCTCTACTTCAGTAACTCTTAAAGCCAGCTGGTCACAGGTTTGGAATGCCTGCCAAGGGCTAACTAAGGTTCCATGCCAGAGATGAGTACAGTCTTGGTCCAAAAAGACAACAGTTTACAGTAACACTGAGACGTGTGGCGGACGTGAGAACCTTTTTCATCATTTATGCTCTTCCTCAGACACCCAGGCCACTGCTACAATCCTCTCTCAGTGGATTAGCAGCTACTCTCACAAGGGTGAGGATTTCCATTCCTAGTGTCCCTTTAAAGGCAGATACTTAGAACATGCCTTTTTCTAGTGCTATGTTTTAGCCTTACTAAAGTGGAAGAGCTGAGGGAGCCTTACATAGTCATTAGTACTAATCTTAGTGCCTAACCTGTAGGGAAAGGCCATACTGTAGACACATGGCTTGATTCAACAGTTTGGGCTCAGTCTGTGCTACCAGAAACTGGGCAAGACTCTCTACTGCTAGGTTTAATTAAGAAAATAAGCTTTTTTTTTTCAGTGTGTGTGTGAATGCAGGTGCTGTGGAGGTCAGAAGAGGATGTTGGATCCCCCTGGAGCTGGAGTTATAGGCTATTGTAAGCTATCTGATGTGAGTCCTGAGAACTGAACTCGGGTCTTCTGCAAGAGCAGCAAGCACTCTTAACCACTTAGCCATCTCTTCAACCTTCACAAGATGGCTTTTGGAGTACATCTGTGATTTCTCACTTTGAAAGGAGCCACCAAATTACCACTTGGCTGAACATTGTACGTTTTAGTGACACCCAGTTAGTTCAGGACTCCCTTTGTGAGCTTGGCCAAGTCTGGACATCGGGCAGTTAACAACAAAGACCCTGGGCAGTAGGGCAAGGGGCAGAGGGATAGAGGAAAGTATAACTTGTTTAGAGTCTAGCACCTTCAGGGGCTTGGGACATTTCCCTTCTGTTCTCTTAGTCCCTTTTCATTCTGTTGGACATCTTTATGTGCCTTGTCACAAAACACTTCCCTTCTGCCAGAAGTCAGTGACAAGCTGAATAGCTCCAATACCAACCAACCCAACAGTCACACTTTTGTACATAAGGAGAACTCACTCAGCAAACACTCGGCCTTAGATTTCAGGTGTCCCAACAACTAGCACCTTGGAGACAGACTAAGGGAAATCTGCCTGTGATATCATGTCTCTGATGTAAAGCAGTTGCCCCAACAAGCCTGTCCAAGCCTAAGAATGATTGATACCTTAGGGCTCCCAATGACTACCCAGTGAGGGTCTCAAAAGAAAACAACATCCCAGAGTTACACCCAATTAACTTGAGTGAAAAACCAAATAGCTCCAGGCATGTCCCACTTCCCTGTTCTATGGCAACAATAATTAGCTTCAGACCTTTGGTTCTGGAGGGATAGAGATGTGTCTGCCAGAGGCGGAAAGTCAGGTCTGAGGGAGTGTGCTATCTACATTCCTCTTGTATTCCACATTTGGAATCTGAACACAAAACCTTTCCTAATGGAGTTAGAGTCAGATACGCTATGCAAGTATTAGAGCCATTTCTGTCTTCTATGTCATATGGCCCATTGACCTCAGAAGAGGTGGAGGCGAACAAGACTGTGTGTGACATTTCCAAGCCTCTGGGAACCTAAGTGTGATCAATGATAAAGTACTTTCATCTAGATTTTCTTTAAGCCACAGCTTCTCCGTTGGTTACAGTGGCAGCAGGACCCAGTGTTGATCAAACAGGGTGCTGCTTTCTGTACTCACGTGTCCCTTTGGGGTGGGGCTAACTCTATGGTGACTATGGGATATGAACACTGCAACCACAAGGGAATGAAAGGTAGTCAGCAGAGAGAGAAAGGCAGAATATGACCAAATAAACTTAACAACCACCTTGTCAGACAGTTATGAGTAAACTCAAACAACCACTAGAACCAGAGTGCTTTCCTAGCCTAGTCCACAAACAGTAGTAGAAGTGAGTTCTTGAGAGTGGAGATGGGATAAGAAGTCCAGAGACTACTAGCACTACCCCTAGAAGAGAGTATATGAACCCAACAAAGGGAAAAGAGCTGGAAGCACTATGCCACAGTCTAGAACTGAGATGACAAAGTGACCTGGCAGTCCCCTATGCCACCACAAATATACAGAGGTAAATACACACTTTCCCCTTTGAGCACAGACTTAAAGGAACATGGGCACTTATCTCTGACCATATTACCAAAGTAAAATCAAGGTTTTAAAAGAAAAGAAAAAAACAGCTTACAAATAAAACAATTAGTGACTAGCTTCAAGAACAGAAATATTTTCAGCTATGACCTGGGGTACTTTTCAATGAGGTATGGAACATTGGATTTCATAATTGGGTTATGAAATTGACCCTGTAGGCAAATGTTATGTTTCCAAATGATATCAAAATTTAGTGTGTATATAGAAAAAATGTCTCTTCTTCTAAAAATCGACATAGATTAGTGAATGTGTTAGGAGACTCACTCATGCCAGGCTCAGTCAAGTAGCTGTAGCGCTTACGTAAAGCTAAAGATGCAAAGCTCTGACGTCTGTCCGCTTTCTCAGCCTGAAAAAATAAGAGAAGAAACCATTTCCACCTTCCCTGCGACACCTTTACACATTGAAACATTTCATTGGATGGGACGGTCAAGTCCTGTCCACCCTTAGGCATTATTTTTCCCTTAGGCATTATTTTTCCCTGCCCTCAGCTCTCAACATAAACCACGATGTGGCAGGCTTTAAAAAGAGCACCCATACAGCAGACCAAAGGGGACTAGAAATGTTGAGCAGTGAGTTTCTACCAGTTTGTGATACTGAAAACTCACAGGTCAAAAAATAGGCTTGCTATGTGAGTACACTCAAGGAGAAACGATACATCCCAGGATCTACTGTGGGTACATAGTAGAGATGAGATTACAAACAGGTGGATGGCCTCATCAGCAGTTTTTCTACTTGAGCTGCTGTTGTTATTGACAGCTCATTATTGACAATTATTGTGGGTTCTTAGAAGTCCAATTATCACATAGCTTACAGAAATACACAGATAACTTAGGAAAAAACTCTTGCAAAACTGGGCAATGGCACTCTTAAAATATGGCTAAGAAAGGGCTGGATACATGGTTAAGTGTGGAATGCTGCTCTTGCAAAGGTCCTGATTTTTGGTTCCAGCACCCACATCAGGAAGCTCACAATCTCCCAGGGGGGAATGTCATGTTCTCTCCTGACCTCCAGGGTCACTGCGTTCATGTGTACACACCCACACAGAAACACATATACACGTAAATTAAAAAAAAAAGGAAAAATTTTTTTTAAATGGCCAAGATAAATTCTTTAGCTGGAATGGCAAAACATCTATCAGCAGTTGGTGAGAAAATACTTTACATAAAACATAGTTGATTGTATGACACAATTCCATATAATAACCAAGGTCTTGAGTTAGAAGTGACAACACAGCAGGTAGCCAGACGGCAGTGGGTACTAAAACACACCGGTGAAACTCAATCTTAAGCTTTTGCATGGCAATCTGTCATGTTTAAAGATGCTTAAATGACTCCAGGTTTGTCTTTAACTACTTTATTGTTTTTGCAGAATACACTGAAGCACACCTATGCTCATGGGAAGAGTGAGCCACTTTAAAGAAAAATAGCTAACTCTACCTCACATAGGCTAAGACGGACAATAGCATTTAGACTGTTCCCGAATTTGGGCCCCGCCGCCGCTGCAAGCTTTTCATACATATCCAGTATCTATTCTACCTCGGATAGAATAAAAGCAGAAGTGGTCTTATTACCTCATCATCTTGATCTGACTCTGTCTCCTTTTGGTCCCAAGATGCATTGCAGAGACAAGGAATATTATAATGGACAGCAGGGAAAAGAGTGTCAGGATATGAAAAGGACTGAGTTGGGAGCACACAAGGCAAGCTGGTTTAGAAAGCAAAGCAAATCAAAGGAAGCCAGTAAAAACAGTATCACGGGCCATAGACAGTCATTTCAAAGCATTAAGAGCTACAAACTACCAGCGGAAGCAATCAACAGAGGACTCTGACATACAGACTTGTAAGAACAGGACAACACAGGAACAAGACGTCATCTACACACAGAGACTACACAACTGGAGTTTCAGGGGGGCTTTCCAAGTGACACAAAGCATTCCTTAGTGACATACCAAAGGCCCATTGCCTCAAGAACAGGGCGGGGGTGATGTGGAAATAAACCAGTTTTAAAAGATACCTTTTTATGTGCAGGTAGAGTAATATTTAAGTTGCAAACAGCTGTTTGGGGTAATCCCTTTGTTGTCTTCGGCTCTTTCAGGAAAGACAGACGGCCACAGGGCTCTTGGCTGGTGTCTCTAACCTAAAAGATTTTGGGTAACTGATGATTACACAAAGAGACTGATTCTTGTCTAAGGGTGAGACATATTTGTTTTATCAAGCATACAGAGGGAAAGGATGGTAACCCAGGATGAATCTGGAAATGTACCAGAGTCTCAGGTCCTGGCTTAAAAAATAGGATGGCCACCCACTTATCTCATGTGACAAGCCATTCTGGGCTATGTGCATTATCAGTTTTCCCACTGATTTAATTTAAAACTTCAGTATTTGAAACAGGGAACAGCAAATGGTGTGAGCCCCCTGACTCTGCCTGAACCCTCCCTGCCCATGTCCTGTCCCGGGAAACACAAATCAGAGTTACATAAATATGGTCCATTCTGCTCTAGGTTGTTTCATTTTACAAACACTTCTTTGAATTTTATATTTTGGTATGCTTTGAGACAGGAGCTCACTATGTAGAGCAGGCTGGCAAACTCACAAAGATCCATCTGCCTCTGCCTCCTGGAGTGTTAGAATAAAAGGTGTACATCACTATACTGGGTTCAATTTCTTTATATTTAAATTATATATATATATATATGTATGCAATGTTTTTAGTGTGTTTATCCCCTACATCAAAAAAATAATTGAATTATGAAATACAATGTAAAGAAAAATCAGTCTAACAGATCCCAAGTCAAACATTATAAACTTGGTCATTGAAATGGCAAAGACATTTACTCTCTATCAATCAAAAAGCAGCTTATTCCTCAATAACTTTTCTAAAGAAATAACATTAAGGATCTTCTCTCCTCCCCCATAAATTTAAAAGTAATTATATTGTATTGACAGCAGCATTTTTTTCTCACTTCCCCAAAACGTGAGAAAATGAAATCTACACACACACACACATATATATATATATATATATATATATATATATATATAAAATGTTCATTTACCAATAATAAAGTTTTACTAACTTGAAAATTCACCCTGGTAGAACTAGAACAAAGTTTGACCTTGTTCTTAAGTCACATTTGGTGGGATAATTCAAACTAAATAAACCATTAAAAAAAAAAAGGTTTATTCTCTTGGAACTTTAAAAATAATTGCAGAGTCGATATTAAAGATGATTTACCTTGATGGAAAATGGAAGTCTGTTTTCTTTGAAAGAATAGAAGTTAAAAACAAGCTGCTGAGCTCCTTTGGTAAGAGGGGCCAGGTTTCCATAGCAATCAACGAATATGGGCTTTCCTTCCAGAACCTTCCAAAGTAAAAGAAACACACAATCTAATGTTAACTTGACCTAAAAGAATTTTGAGAGTTTTAAGTCAAATAACATTCAAAGACTTACATAATCACATCACTATGAGAAAATTACTTCTTTGGGGTTGTTTGCTTTAAAAATGTCTGGGTGATTACACTCCAACAGTCATAATTAGTAGCTATTATTACAGACAGGTATACAACAGAATTATTTTTCTCTTCTAACAGTTTTAAACATGCCAGAGAAAATGCCTGCCATTGTTTCCTTATGTAGACTCAGATCTGTCATTTTTGGCTGGCCGATACTCACATGATCTCCAGGTTTGAAAAAGGAAAATTGTGGTACTGTTTGTAGAAAGTAACCACACACACACATTCAGATGGCCACAGGACAATGGAGAGTAGTTTAGATTCATTAGCATTGTGTCTTAACCAGCTGAGGTGAACTCAAAGCACTTAAATAATATGAGGATGAACCCATGTCAAAGCTTTAAAACAAAACATGAATATCTTTGATATTTCTATATATTTGATATTTCTATATTTCATATGATGCCATGGCCCCCAAATAAGCCCATATCTGAGGAATGCAGCAACAGACACTCATTCTTGTGACCCCAGTACCTCAATGTCTTTGCTCCTGGCCACCTCCTCGAAGTTCTCCTGCTGCTCCAGGGTTTTGTCCACCCTGTCGTCCGTCATGCAGAAGCATCGAAGGGAGGATTCCACTGGGTCATTTGTTTTGGCAAAAACAACAAACTTGGCCATGTAGGGGACACATATCAATTCTCTGTACAGTTGTGAGGCCAACCCTACAGTTTCTAAAACCTGGTGGCAGTCTGCAAGCCAAAATCTGAGAAAAACAAAACACAAAGTGGGAAAATGGAAAAATAAAACCCAATAATAACAAAAAAGTAAAATAAACCCCGAAGAACTCACAATGAAGAAAATCAGGGGCTGGGGGTATGACCCCCTGGGAGTGCAAATGTTTTTAGTGTGTTTATCCCCTACATCAAAAAAAATAATTGAATTATGAAATACAATGTAAAGAAAAATCAGTCTAACAGATCCCAAGTCAAACATTATAAACTTGGTCATTGAAATGGCAAAGACATTTACTCTCTATCAATCAAAAAGCAGCTTATTCCTCAATAACTTTTCTAAAGAAATAACATTAAGGATCTTCTCTCCTCCCCCATAAATTTAAAAGTAATTATATTGTATTGACAGCAGCATTTTTTTCTCACTTCCCCAAAACGTGAGAAAATGAAATCT